CGTTCTCTTGTTGATTYTTGCTGCCATTATCATTATTGTTATTAATTGGAGTATATACAATGTTTAATTTTTACGGTTTACCATAGTGTCATGCACTCCAACGAGGGAGAAGTCATCACTCCTGCTGATGAAAACGAATCATTCAACTTGGATGCAGAATTGGATGATGACGAATTGGTATGCAAATCTATCACAATCATCAGTATATATTTAGTTTCGGAGACGACAATTTAGCTAATAAAATAAAAAATAGAAGTTGCATGTGCACAAGTTGTAGCTATTTGAATGCAGCTCCAACTGAGGATTACCGCGCTGGCCTTAGAAATAGATTCGGAAAAATTAATCTCGCTGCGATTCGACTCATGACTCTCGGATTTGTATTACCGATGCTCTACCAGCTGAGCTACAAAAAGTCAGACTGGGAAGAGGTCGCTTGGCGTAAGAGATTCTAAGTTGCGGTAATTGAAATGTAAAGAATATGAGGACCGCATGACACTATACTATGAGATACATGAATTGGAAATAAATGAAAATTCTAATGCTTAGAATTGCTTGACCTGACAATTTTGCAGTACCATTTGTTTAGAATGTATATTGAATATTTTTTATATTTTTTCCCTCTTCCATCTATATCTTGGTAAAGTATTCACACACAATTTATTGGTTTCATATGATCGATAATATTAGGAAGGATACCAAGTATACGTTGATACGACTAGCAACAGCTATCTACTATCCCTAAAAGACTTAGAAGACGCTACTCTCCACTTCGAAGATAAAAAGGTCGAAGGAGAGGTGGCTACTATAACAAAAACTTCTGATGGAAGCTTTGAAGTTGTTGTACAGGTAATTATTATTTTTTTATTTTTGTTGTCACTGCTGTTACTGCTGGTGCAGGTGTTTCAGTGGAGTAAACAAAACTGACACCTGACACCATCATGCATTTCTTAGTCACACTGCCTATATTCTGATGAATCCAGTTCATTAGTTGTCCATGATGGTAAAAGATACGGTTTTCTTTTCCGTACCTATAAGGTACGTGAGACTTTTATAAGGTTCGTCGAACACCCCTACCACTTTTGTAAGGGAGAACCCTTCTTGGGGTTGTAAGATTTAGATTTAGATTTATACATTTATGTTGTTTTGTTTTGGTAGATACAAAAGAAACGTTTGGCAAGGAAGCGTCAACTTAAGTCAAAGACAATTGTTATTTGTCCTTCGAAAAAAGTTTTTTCAAACGAAAGTCAAAGCCAATATCACGGTTAGTATGCACTAAACAAATTAAAACATCCCGAACGCTTTTTAGTTGCTTGCAAGGCCTTTTCATTTATTTTAGTACACCTTTGTTTCTATTTTCACCTTTTTTCTGTTAGTTATGCTGATGGAAGAAAAAGAAAATGCAGTGAAATGGCAAAGAGCACTTGAGGGAGACTTAAATACGAAAGAAGAAAAATTGAGACAAATGAAACGTTACTTCCAAAAGGAGAAGCAAGATCACGCATCCACGAAAAAAACCCTGCAAACACAAAGAGAACAATGCGAATCTACTCTAAAACAACTCCAAACAGAACAGCGGCAACACGCATCCACGCAAGCAGACCTGGAAAGGGAAAGGCGGCAACGCGA